GAGCAGGGCTGATACAGAGCCAGGGCCTTGTCTGCCTCTCACCCCACCCCACCAGCGAGGAGGCTGGGGGGGGCATAGCCAGGACAACTGATCCCAGGGGTATTCCATACCATATGACAGCATGCTCAGCATATACAGCTGGGGGAAGAAGGAAAGGGGTAATGTTCAGAGTGATGATGTTTGTCTTCTCAAGTCACCGTTGCCTGTGATGGAGCCCTGCTGTCCTAGGGATGGCTGAGTACCTGCCTGCTGGTGGGCAGCAGTGAATTAATTCCTTGATTTGCTTTGCTCGTGCTTTTGCATTCCCTATTAAACTGTCTTTATCTCAACCCACAAGTTTTCTCACTTTTACACTTCTGATTCTGTCCCCCATCTCACTGTGAAGTGAGTGAGCATCTGTGTGGGGCTGAGCTGCCAGCTGGGGTTAAATCACTCCAGTCCTTTCTGGGGCCCAACATAGGGCTGGAAGGGTTTGAGATAACAACAGATTTGACTGGAATGTGCTAAATCAAATTTATAGCTGCTATTGCTGTTTAGCTATTAGGCTCCTACGCTTGCCATGGGGCTTGCTTGCCTTACCATGTATTAGAGTGTAGCGCTCGTTGGTGGCTGCTTTTGCTTTTGCTGCTTGGTGTGCTGCTGATCATCTTATGTGCTGTGCCTGGGAACATTTTGATAACAGCCATGGCCATGTGCCTGGGCTGGCAGGTGGCCAGGGCATCGCTGCTGTTCCTGTGCTGCTGTACTGGACAGGCTGGAACTCTGTTGTGAACTCGAGTTGAAGGGACTGTGACCTGTGCATGAGTCCACGTGGGAGCAGGACCCCCCAAAGTGTCTGTGGATAAGCCCACACCAGAGCAGATACATCTTGAAGTGTCTGTGGCCACTGTTATGTCTGTGCTGCAGCAGGTACACCCCTGAAGGGTGGCCCAAGGATAAGTCCACACTGGAGAAGGTACACCTTGAAGCATCTGTGGATAAGTCCATGCTGCAGCAGGTAGACCTTGAAGCATCAGTGGCTTGTGCATAAGGTCATGCTGGAGCGCCTCGAAGCATTTGGCCATGGATAAGCCCACAACAGAGCAGGTACACCCCTGGAGGGACTGCAGCCATGGGTAAGGCCATGTTGAAGCAGGTTTACTTTGGAAGGGACTGTGACTGTGGGTAAGGTCATGCTGGAGCGGGACTATCTCTGAAGGCATTGTGGACCATTGGGAAGGCAACTATGGCTGTGGATAAGTCTGTGCTGCAGCAGGTACAGCCCTGGGGAGACTGCAGCTCATAGATAAGGCTCTACTTGGAAGAGTTACAAGCCTAAGGGACTGGTCTGTAGATGAGCCCAAGCCAGAGCAGGGGCAAGGGGAGGAGTTCATTGCAATGTTAAACCCAACAGTCTGGTCTGGTCCAAATGGGCCAGGGGTGGAGACTGTAATGGAAATAGTTTTAAATTGTTCTAACCCAGGAATTGAGTTGCATGTTATGGGAATTAGCATAGCAAGAACACCTTGTTCCTAGCCTGGTTATGAACAAGGGGAGGAGTTCATTGCAATGTTAAACCTTATAACTTGGCCCAAAGGGACCAAGGATAGAGACTATAATGGAAATAGCTTTAAATTGTTATAACCCATTACTTGAGTTGCATGTTATCGGAATTACTACAGCAGGAACCACCTGAAGGTGGACAAGCCTTACAAGAAGCAGTGCAAGTGCAGTAGTGACCCAACCTGAGCTGGCTTTGGTGCCCAGGAACTCCATGCAACACAGCACCTCTCCTGTCTGGAGTGACTTCCATAACAGGTGGAGCCCAAAGTCATAAACTAAATTAACTCACTAAACATTTTGTGAACACTTACGGACATTTTAAAGACATTTTATAGAGGCATACCACAGACCAAGGGAATGATATCTGTGTATTATATCAAAGGATGGGAAGGGGAGGGGTAATGGTTAATGAGGTTGTATTGAATAGTGTGGTACCTGAACATGACAAATCGTATGGAATAAGGAGTGGAGAATGTACTGGTTTTGGCTGGGATAGAGTTAATTTTCTTCATAGTAGCTAGTATGGGGCTCTATATATACACAAATATATAAGGCCAAGTCTTCAAAGTATTATGGTATCTGATCTTCACCCATTTCAAGTAACTCTGACACTTATTTTCATGTAGGGATTTTCCACTTCATTATTATGATTATGTGATATTGCAAAGTGATGTTTCCTTACCAATAAGTACCTTAAAGACATGTAAATAATAGAGGAGGTTTTTTTAGTGTCTAGTTTTCAATGTTTTCTATTAAGTTCTTTGGCATATACTATATTTTACAACATGCTGTCTAAGCGTTTTAGGGTCTCAAATATTATTCCAATTATAATTTAAGTGAATTAGTAAGTTTACTTTAAAATATTAGTTTATCAAAGCAGTACACTAAGTTCTACTATACATGTGGAAAATATTTGAGCCCACATTTATTAGCATCTTTAACAAGATGAGTGTATTTAAGAACATAATTGGCTCTTAACAAGATTGCCATAGCCAGTTTATTAAATGTCATTAGTTACTATAAATATTGACATTTAACCAAAGGAACATATGAAGAAGTATCTAAAATACCACACCTATCTTAGTGCAACTTGACAGTATAATTGAAAACCCTTGTTAATCGCTTAGTGAACAGAAGTCTTACTGCACCAAGGCTACCTTATTGCTTTGAACTATGTAAAATACCAAATCCTACAATGTTTCAGTAAGAACTGGTTTGCATATGATCTGAAATGTTAGCATAAAGACAAGAAATTCCTCTAAAAATGCATGATTCTGCTCCAGCTCACAATGAAGCCAGCAGCAGCTTTTTCCTAACAACTCTACAGAGACCTGGACCAGCCTCGTGACTTGCATAAAGAAACACTATACACCAAGACTTCTCATGACATCACTTCAAGCTATTGTAACAGCAGAAACTAAATATTCACTCCTGCTGAGTAATGCTCCTTCATTTCTCACCAGTATGTTGCTTTGACTATTATTTTTTATTTTCTGCTTGCTGCTGGAGCAAATTTAGATCAATAACATTTTGGCCACTGCATCAGACAAATAGGTTAATAACAGCTCTTGCAGTTAATTGTGAACAGGTCAGTAGGTTACTAGGTAATTAGTCCAAAGTATTTCAAGACCCAAATCCCTAAAATACTTCTGAAGAGCATGGCAGGAAATAATTATCAATCTGCATTAATAGCAAGAAAAAGATCTTGTGATAGCTTCCCTTAGCACAAGCCTTCCTTGTTGCAGCGATGTTACAAAGCTAACATCTTTCTAGATGCAAGGCCTGTATTTGTGATTGCAATTACAAGATCGGCATCAACATCCTCTACACCGCAAGGCAACCGGCAGTCCTTGAGCCAATTCCTTTACAAATGTATTGTAGTCTGGCTGTTTCTGATTTAACATAGAGGATGAGGAAGTAGGGCTAATTAATTTTATTAAAAACATCTGAAAAACATTTTGCGGACATAATGATCAAAAGCACACAGACTCATTAAAACCAGCTAAGACCAATTGTGTGGCTTTCTGTTAGAGGAAAGTTTTGCTCTTAACAGTATCAAGTGTTTTGACAGCTGTATAAACTTTTGGAGCATGTTTCAGCTGTAGGCAGACAGAGGGAGAGGGGGCAGATCTGATTTATTCCAAGCAGAAGCGAATCAAACAGCACAACAGTTCTTCCCCCAAAGGTTTCAGTTTGAACTAAATTGAAGCCCCCTCACATACAAACAACAAAACAAATCCACATTTCTCCAGGCACAAGCCTCCAGAAATAATCCATGAAGAGGCTACCTGCTACTTAAGAATTTAAAATATAGTGCAAGACTAATCCCAACGTACATTATTGATAAATCTGAGTAATTAAGAAGACAAACCTAAACAACACCCACACTGCAGAGACAAGACCTCTGAAAAATCTTCCTAGTATTTCCTTCTAAAAAGCCAGTAACAAAACCCGCATATATGTTTGCTGAAATTAAAATGTTTTCACAAAACAAGCAGTAAAATAGATGTAGTTGACAAACTCGTACTGTTTTTATCAAGTCATTGCTGGCCCCAAGAATAACTGTTATTTAACTGGAAGAAGAGATCATCAAGAAAGCATAGCAATGGCCTTAATAAACTGAGGAAGTCGTCTCTAAAGCAATAGAGGAAAAACAGGCTCTTGTTTGCTTGCAAAATCCTCCTATTACACTAGCAGCAACACAGTATTTTACACGCAAACTTGGCATATTCATAGGATGTGGTCTCTTTAGCTATTTTGTGCATTATATAACATCATACATGATTCTACAAGTTCCGAAGGACAAACTGTGGTTTTGTGCACGATGTGTGTCAGTGGGTGGGCGTGTGTAAATGCTGAGAGGAAATCTTTTGGACACCTTCACTAACACGCTTAACCCTCACGTGACCTTACGTGTCCTCTCGCAAACAATCACTAGCCTAAATGCACCACTGGAGTAACAATTATAATAAAAGCTGATTTCATGTCAGAGAGAAAAATAAGTACTAAGAAAGCTAGAAAATCTCTAGGTCATAAAAGGGAAAGATGTGTCTTAAAAACTAAAGACATCCACAAGAAAATAATGGATACCTCATACACAGGGAGCAGTCCAAATCTGATGGATCCACAAATTCAAATGGAATATGTTGTCCAGTACTATTTCCCTTAGTATCAACTGTATCTATCAATAAAAAACATATTATAATGTGATTGAACAGAACTACATAAACACAACAGTATTCTGTGTAGCTACAAGCAGCATCCAATATTTAAATGAGTATTGTATTAACTTGCAAGTTACTGCACCATTAACCATCGTTACAGTAATTTCTATGCAAAGAATCAAATGCAGCTTTGGCATTTAATTTTGGTGACATTATACTCACTTACAGGGGGTTGAATTTAGCCTTGCATTAACAATTAACGTCAAAACATTTTTTATTAGTGTTGGAAGTATAAAGTGGGACAAATTCTTCTGTCGTACCATTGTAAATACATCCCACAGCATGAAAACAAGGCCAGATATCACGAACAAACAGAATTTGTGCTTTTAAACAGACTTTTTTAATTGATCCAGAAAGTGCTAAGACCATGCACAACACTGATGTTCCTTAAAAGATTCAGAGCTCTACTAATAAACACTTAACCCAACCTTCTTAGCCCCCTTTTTAGACTAAAAAGAATTTTTTTTTTTTTAGACACACAAGAAAGATTCCACATCATGCCCTGATTAGGCTACAGAGAAAATATAAAAGCCAAAGTGGACCCTCTTCCTCTAAGTTTCATAAAAGCAAAATTTCCACTGATTGCACGCCATGGAATTTATCCTGTGCGTAATTAAACATACCTTTCTTCATCAGTTTGCAGGGTACCTCAGCATTTCGTGTCTCCTCTGAGCAGCACTTCCTTTTCATGAGGCTGCACTTCTCAGAAATGAGAAAGGCAGACTCTGGCATGGAGGTGAGTTTGTTCTCCTCCTCCGAGCAGTCCTTTTTGCTCTCTGTAATTTGTATAGATTTCCTCAAACTACCAGAAGTAGTTACATTTGGTTCCTCTTGAATGGGAAAACCCTTTTTCTGTTCCACATTTACCTGTGCAAAGAGAGGACTGACATTAGACCAATCTTCCAACAACCTGGTAAGGAAAAAACCCCAAACCTGTCACAAGTCTTTAATGTTATGGATCACCAGGAAGGACTTTATGGGTCAAGAAGCAACAGTTTGAGAACTGCTGTGTCAGGGCCTGATTTTAATCAGGAAAAAAGCAGCAAACTATTTCTGCCTCCTCCCCGCCCTGCCATGGCACCGAATATTTTCAGCCCTTATGCGTGCCTTTATAGCTTGGTCATGAAACTTGATTCAGGCAGAAATGTGGCCAGATCTCAGGTTAAATAAGTTGTTATCACTTAACCTATGGAAAAATACGTATTGTTTATATCATAATGGTGGTATCAACCATCAAACCACCAAAACAACGCAATGATTTTAAGGAAGCAGTATAAACACACAAAATTTATAACAGAGAAAATGCACAGAGCTTCCTTCAGCAAGACAGATTTATTTCACAAAGGATAAAACGATCATTCTTTATCCCATTATGGCTAGAGAACAACCCGTGAGCAGCCATTACACAGGACATCACCCTATCGGCTTGTCACATCAACTTCCCAGATGAACCTGAAAGCAGATACTGTGGACTGTGATCAGGAGCCGCGGTGATGTGCAACATGCAGAAAGATGAGTGAACTGTCCCTCAAATGACTTCGTGAAAGGGTCATACAAAAGGATTTATTTTCAGAATATCCTAATAGCCTTCCCAGAAGGCAATGTCACTGATTGTTCTGATCAGTCTCAACAAGGCTGCTCAAAATCCACCATTTCTGTTGGTAAGGACTAGTGGAGTTTTCTCCTACCTATACAGTATATGCAAAATCTATCCTCAAAGCTCAGGTTTCAGTGAAGCAGAAGTGGTCCTTAACAAACCCATGAATGTAAACCTCTACAGCCACTTACAAAACTATGGCTGTGAAACCAGATTTATGCAGTAGCTAACGTATCTTATGTGGCTCTACAATAGCCTCTAAGCAGTGTACAGAATCTGAACACAGGCTGATTTTGTCACTGACATCATCAGTTACAGTTCAAGCTGAAACCCTTCATTTTAGCATTTTACAGGTTTTGAGGGTAACAACCCAATCTTCAGAGGCCCTTTCCCACTACCAACTGCTTGGAAAGAGCTAAAGACAGTTACAGGCACAGCACCTGCTAATTCTGGCATAAAAGTTATCAGAAAACCAACAGAGGACTTCTAATAAGGAAAAAGAAGTTGTCAGATAAAGAGGCTTCAGTAAGTCAACATCATTTTCTATGTTCTGAAACTCAGTAAAAATCTGAGAAAATGTATCCTCCTATCTCCTAGAGATAAAAAGGAGAGAAGGCTTCCCAATGTGAACATAAAACACACAACAAATTAAGAACCACACATCAGACTTGATCTTTACCTTGAGCAACCTTTGTAGGTTATGGCTGGTGCCTCCAGATCCCACTGAATTTAGGAGATTCCCCTTTAATCTAGAGTGATGTGACAACAGCTGCAGGATATCGGGTAAGTGTTCCTGAGCATTTCCCGGGATGAGTGAAAACAAACTAAGTAGAAGCTGTGATACAAAACAGAATACTTCACTGCTTAGTTCCTTCCTCGCAACCTCTAAATGAAAAAGCAAGTAAGGGAATAGCTGAAAGAAGCATCCTTGATTTTGTTAAAACCATTTAAAGAGCCCTTTAGACCAGGGTAAGAACAAAAAGAAACACAAGAGCTAATGCAATATAGGCCAAACAGACAGCAAGAGACATTTTTAGAGTTAAATAAGCCCGTAAGGTTATTAACCATTCTCTGTGATGTGACACACACACCTTAGTCCTCTTGTCCTGCAGTTCAGAGCTCAACAGATATTATAACATCTTTCTTAAATATGTTTTTTGCTGCACATCAGAAGCTTTCACTGGAGTTTATTAGTACAAAAAGCACTCATCTCACAGGCTTAATCCAAGTTCAGTTAAGTAAATGTCTCTGATATTGTAAACTGTAGCTATCTTTAATTCACTTACGTGAGAATAAGAAAAAAACATAGGCAGTAGGAAAATGCTATTTCTTCATTTACTATCAGAAAATGGGTGAATCTATTAAGTAGCAGCTTGCAGCCGCTTGTACAGCATAGCTTATCAGATGATTATTTAAGGAAAGAAACAGATCTGAATGGAAGATTCGCACTTCAAACTAATTCCAACATACTACTGAGGTGATCCTGCTGATGCCTGAGGAAGCCACATGACAGCTAAGACTACTTTTTAAAGCCCAAAAGGGCTCCACAGGATCACACTATGTGAAGACTAACATGGACAGACAGTACAAGCAGAATTATCACAGCTGCACCTGAAAAATTTGGTGAAGTGTGATATACCATTGTTACGCAAACAGCCTCGGAAATGACCCAGTACAATATTGCATCATGGATGAACTCTGTGTCTGATGAGTGCACAAGTAATTCTTTCAGTCATAAGAAGCCTAGTTTTCCTCAGAACCCCACTGCTCAGAAATTAGGTGTCTCGGATAAGGCTATTTGGAGTCTGAATTTAGAAACATATCTGTTTGTTCCGGCTTGTCTCTCTCTAGTGCACAGGAAGTCTCCCAGCATGAGTATGAGAACAAATCATGACACAATGACAGTGAAAGACTGCATGAAACACACTGGGGAAAAAAAAAAAAAACCCACAAACAAACAAAACCCCCAAGTATCAGTGACAAAAAACTCACAGGAGATGGAAATCTCAACCATACCCAAGATGAGATAAAAATTTGATTGCACTACAGCCATCCAGGGTGTACTCTCTCAGCCACCTTCATGAACAGTGCTTTACTGTAAGAGTTCTACTGTGCTTTTACAAAGCCTTATATATTACAGCACACTAACCCATCCCACCAGAAAAGCATGAATGCACTGCAATAGAAGAAAACTGAGTACAAGGAAAATAGAACTATTACATTTTTATTACCATAAGCTATTACTGCAACGCTGAGCCTTTTAGCTATGGTGACAACAAAAAAAAAAGTCAAATGTCAAAACACCGATTCAGAGGAGATAGAGATTTGAGGGGCATGCAAAACAGAGCAGTCTTGGCAAAACCAGTTTAAGAATCCACACGCCACATCTTAGGCTGCTACTGAAAAAAGCCTCGCTGTAGATCTATTTAGCATTAACTATTAGCAACCTTTAAAAACTATTTTAAAACAGCTCTTCTTTTGTTGACTGCTTCCTTTCCTGCTTCCTTCACACACCGATACCCAGCACAGCACAACCGGCAGTAGGAAGAGAGCTGCTGCTCCCAAGTGGAATTTGACGGGTGCTGCGTGTTGTAATCTGCCAGTCAATGGCCTGATACAACATTCAATAGTGACTCCCCCTCCTCTGCACTGTCATTGCTAATACTTTGCCAAGCCAGGAAACAGATTAGAAATTCGACTATAGGGAACCACAATAGTCTGTGGGTGGCAATTATTAGCAATCCAGTTTTACTTCAAATTTGCAGATGCTAACACCATGAGTAACTGTTTCCACGTAGTGCCTGCTGAGTACGTTTTCTTGCTACTTCCCTATCTTCAAGTAAACAACACACATAACAAGTTTGAACAACAGTCTGGATCTCTCTCTCCATCCAGCTCTTTGCTGTAATGAGAGAGAGGGGAAAGAGAAGAAAAATTCTTATCCTCCTTTACAAAAGGCCACTGAAAACAATAATGCAGTTCCAGATGATTTAGGGAACTCACCTTTTGTGCCTCAGACTTGGCCGTCTTGTTCCCAGTATCTAGAGCAAGGCAGAACAGAAACTCTCTTAAAGCTTCTTCTGTTTTCCCCAGATTAGCTAATGCTTGTCCTTTCCTTAGGTGACCCTGCAATGAAACACATCCACAGTTGCAGCTTTCGTTCTTTTGTCATGAGAATATGCAATAAAACCAAGATTAAAGTACAAAAGATCTTTCAGGAGAAAAAAAAAAGTTAGGCAGGGAGAGTCACTATAACCATCTCTTATACCTAGACACCTCCAGTGTCTGGGATTTTAACCACAACAGTCTCATGGTATGATTCTCACAGCACCTGAGCCCAGCTGATCTTGGGAGAACTCTACTTCCCCTACATTAATCCCCTAAAATAGTCATTACGTCCTTACAGAATGATGTAAGCACAGCGTTCATTTTTTAGAGAGAGTTCATGAACTTTAGATTGATCCAGGTCAAAGACAATAGTGTTAGCTCATCCTCCAGGATTATCACTCTCTTCCTTTGTCCCCAGGAGCTTGAGAATATCATGGTTAAATGTCTGCAAGTCACAGGAGCCCAAGAAGTGGCATGACCTAAAGCCTTCCTCCGATTCAGCTGTCTGACCATTCTAACAGATTTCTACCCAGGGCAGTATCAAGGTTTTAAAACAAAGTACAGCTGGAGTCAGAACTTACTTTTAACCAGTACGGCTGGAGCCTGCATGCTGTTTCTGCATCATGCAATGCATCTTCACAAGCTTTCAAAGTAGAGTTAATCTGGGACCGGTTGCTGTATAGTAAGTGGTCGTTTGGAGCTGTAGGAAACAGAAAAATTGGTTGGTTGAAGTAAATTAAAAATTAGTTACATAAGCTTTATTTTTTTTTTTTTTTTTAAAAAAAACACATGTTGGTGCTTCCAAGTTGTACAAACCCACAAAACATCCAGTTTGTAAATACCTGTGTACTAAGTGAAATCTGGAAACCTCTTTGGGCAACTCCAGACAAAATGTCAGCTATGCATTATATAACTGCAGGGAACATTGCATAAATAAATGCCGAGACGCTCGCACAATACATTAACCAGCTCTGACTGAGGATCAGATGGCTGATAGAAACATACAGGAGACATTTAAGGTGGCAAGAGGAAGGCTGTCATACCGCAGGGAGGAGTTCCAAAATTTTTAGCATCCAAGTTTTTAAGCGATACATGAGGATCTTTCCATGCCATAGCTCAACTGGGGAAAACGAGTGGCAACTACGAGGATCGGACAGCGCTGCAGCAGCGCAGATGAGGTGATCTCCGTTACACACGCTGCGTGCCGTAGCAGCAAGGCACAACGTGTGCGGGATTAGGGCTGCGCGCCGGGGTTTGCCATACTCTCTCATTTCAGCGCAACTCCTACCCGCGACACCGGGCTTTAATCCCCGCTTTCTGCGTGCGGCGTGGGTTGCTTTTCCTCAAACCAGCCAAAGCGACCGCATCGGACGTTCTCCCCGCGCAGCCCCCGCCGGGGTTTCGGTGAGGCCCCGG